GGGTATCCCTGGGGATATCCAGATACCCACCCAAATTTCTGCTGTACCTCGTCGACTGGAAGAGAAACTTTCCAGCCGGCGAGGTACACGTACCTCACCAACTGGAAGTGAAAACTTCCAGCCGGAGAGGTACACGTACCTCGCCAACTGGAAGGGAAACCTTCCAGCCGGCGAGGTACACGTACCTTGCCAACTGGAAGGGAAACCTTCCAGCCGGCGAGGTACACGTACCTTGCCAACTGTAAGGGAAACCTTCCAGCCGGCGAGGTACATGTACCTTGTCGACTGGAAGGGTAACCTTCCAGCCGGCGAGGTACACGTACCTTGTCGACTGGAAGGGTTTCCTTACAGCTGGCGAGGTACCGGTACCTTGTCGACTGGAAGCCTAGTGGAAGAGTATCCTTCGAGTCGACGAGGTACATGTACCTTGCCAACTGGAAGGTTTCCCTTCCAGTCGACAAGGTACGTGTACCTTGCCGGCTGGAAGGAAACCTTTCTGTTGAGGTCTAAGCTCCGTAGCTCTAGACCACCTGGTACCCAAGATCGAAACACCTATGACATCATTCTGGCCTGAACTCTGAAATCGGTCAAAGCTCCTGCAATGACATCATTGCGCTTGAACCTTCTCCCTTGTTCTCGCTTCCTTTATCATTCCCTCTCTTTTGCCAACCATTGTTCTTTCTCCCCAGGACTTCATCTCATACATTCCTCCACTATCGAAACTTCTTATTTGATCGTGCTATAAATCTTACTCCCCAAATCATTATTCATCTTCATTGTTTCAGTAAGACGAACATCACATCTTCCCTCTCTGACTTCCTCTCGCTCTCGCTCTTCTTTCTTTTTGATCTTTGTATCAAATCTTTCCCTTCCATTCGACAACTCCGCCGACTACCTCTTCTCTTCTGGTGTTCCCAATCATCGTAGGTATTCGTCGATCTTTCTCTCACTAGTGTCTTAAGTATTAACCCACTTTCTTTTGTTAGCTTTTTCCTATCTTCTTTCATTTGCCATACAAATCATATTGTTGTTCTATTCACCTAGCCATTTACTGCTTTTAGGTGATTATTTTCTTTTCTTTCTCCTTCTTTCTTTTCTTCTTTCTACTTTGTATTTCTTTGCTGGCACTCATGAAAGACAAACCTTTTAGTCTATTCATTCACACTTTCCAGCCGGCGAGGATATGCCTCGCCGGCCATTTAGAGGGCGGGTATCCAATGATATCCGCTCGGATACCCGCCAAGGCGGGGGATATCCGCCAGCGGATGCGGATGCGGGTGCGGATGACGCTTTCCCCGGAAAAAGCAACCGGATATCCGGATCCAAAGTGACCATCTCTAGTTTGGACAGATATCCAATGGAAGAAAAGCCCCTTCTGTTTGATTCACTAAAAAAACAGGGTGGATATGGAATCTTTGATCATCTCAGTTAGTGAACATAATGCTAGTCATCACAAATCCTAGTCATTTAACAATATCCTAGTTATTGAACATGCCAGTCATTGTTCATACAATATCCATGATCCTAGTTATTAAACTATGGGGTGAAATAATTTTACACTTTATGTTTTGTAGATTTATGGTAAAGTTCAAAATATCAATGCAAAACTACATCAGATCATGTGCAAAACTAATTTTACATTTGTGTGATTTCAAACTACCCAATGTAAACATGCACCATGTTTGGCACAGGCTGAAAAACTTAATTGGCGTAGCTGTTGCCATAATTGTACACCCTACTGTTAATGTTGCCCCGTAAGGGGCATGTAAATCCGCAGATCCCTGTGGATTAAATGAAATCTAAATAATATCCCTTACATCCAATGCACATTTTCAAAGAGATGGACATTGATTGAGCCACTAGCTTAACTAAGCCCTCTGACCTTGGTCTTGTTTTGGTGGGTCCAAAGGACCCCAAGACCAAAGGTCGAGGGCTTATGATTAAAGGGTCTGTGCTCAGAGGTGAGGTCATTTCAGTTTTGGTGGGACTTTTTTTTCCAAATTACTGTAGCAGTCATGTTTTGCTATGCCATCACTTGAAAAGTGGTGGCGCCTCAACCTATCACCTGTGGCTGCAAAATTCTTCCATCCCAAATGGAGGAAAATCATGTTCTCATCATCCACTTGGAATGGAAAATGGCTGGAGCTGAGCTCGTCCAATTTTTTCAGCTCATCCAGCTCAGTCAGCTCTTGGACCCAGCTCATCCAGCTCAGTCAGCTCAAGTCAGCTCTCAGACCCAGCTCAGTCAGCTCTCGGACCCAGCTCAGTCAGCTCTGGGACCCAGCTCAGTCAGCTCTGGGACCCAGCTCAGTCAGCTCTGGGACCCAGCTCAGTCAGCTCTGGGACCCAGCTCAGTCAGCTCTGGGACCCAGCTCAGTCAGCTCTGGGACCCAGCTCAGTCAGCTCTGGGACCCAGCTCATCCAGCTGATGAGGTCCACTAAAAATACAAACAAGAGACAATCATCCCAAAAAACAAAGCTGGGCCGCTGCAGTAAGGCAGTTGCACGGTAGGTAAACCCCCGCCCCCCCCCCCCCCCCCCGGGCTGCGTACGGGGGCAGGGTGCACCTCAGCCTCCCCCCTTAGTACCATTTGTGGGGGAGGGCCCCCTATGGGGGTGCTGTTTGGGCTCTGCGCAGCGGATCAAGACATCACCATTAGCGGGTTGGAACTAAAATTAAGGCTTAGGGGTTGGGTTTTAGCGGTTTAGTTTAGGGTATAGGTTTAGAAGTTTTAGGTTTGGGGTTCGTTTTTAGGATAAGGTTTAGCATAGGTTTAGGGTCAGGTTTAAGGGTTAGTTTTAGCATTTGTTTTACGGA